AACATTACTCAGTCACAGACAGCTCAACATTACTAGACGCAGTCACAGACAGCTCACATTACTAGATGCAGTCACAGACAGCTCACATTACTAGACAGTCTCAACATTACTAGACGCAGTCACAGACAGCTCAACATTACTAGACGCAGTCACAGACAGCTCAACATTACTAGACGCAGTCACAGACAGCTCAACATTACTAGACCCAGTCACAGACAGCTCAACATTACTAGACGCAGTCACAGACAGCTCAACATTACTAGACGCAGTCACAGACTCAACATTACTAGACGCAGTCACAGACAGCTCAACATTACTAGACTCACAGACAGCTCAACATTACTAGACGCAGTCACAGACAGCTCAACATTACTAGACGCAGTCACAGACAGCAGAGGCGCACCAGTACCCGAGGCGGCGAAATCATCATGCGACGGAGGCTGACGTGAAGGACCAACGAATCAGAAAAGAAATCACGAGGGCCGTACAAGCAGTTCCAGTCGATCACAAAGGAGGTTAAAGTGTAACAATCTGGGAACAAGGAATTAAGTCGGGTGGCAGGTAAAATTTGTAAAAAGAATTGCTTAAACAGAAGAGCTGATACGGGTAGCTTTCCAAATATAAGAAAAGATTAAGTGATAACCAGCCAGGGTGTCACCGGATGAGCCCTATATCGAAAATAAAATGATGCTCAGTGACGGACACTGGACTAACTCGTATTCTTAGACGAAATGTTGGATCCCTTCGTCCCACACCACATTGGGGTGGTCTTCTTAAAAGTCTGACGCGGAGTTGGTGTGGGCTACATCACGCTCCAATCCCACAATTTGTTGGAATAATTGTGTAGCCCGCGACCACTCCCCACAGTCATCTCCAAGTTAAAAGGAAACGTAATTATGTGAAATATAGCTTATATGGCAACTATACATTTTAATATGATTACAAACCTCTGTAAGTGCAAAAAAAATGAGCGACTTATCATTTTTCGCCTTTCAGCATTGAAGGTTTTTCAAGGAGAAACTACCTCACGGAGTACTAGAACATCACAACTTGCCGCAGCACCTTCTCACCTTATTTTACATCTTCAGTTATGTTTAGGTTACATGTGTTTTAACCTAAATGAGTATATTTATTAATAATATATATTTTAGAAGAGAACCCATGGCGTTAATTCATCGATATATATATGTGGTAATGGGTGGGTGGTGGATGAGGGAGGGGAGGTAGGGGGAGGGGCAGGGTTGGGTGTTTGGTGTGGATGCATATGGTAGGAGGGTC